ATAGAATATTACATGTTCGCTTGGGGATACGAATTTTATCTTCTCGTGTTGAAAAGATATCCCACTCGTTCGTTACGCTCACTCGTGAGAGATCTTTTCAACTTTCGAAGATGAAATCCGTATCTCAGCGCGCCCATGTAATATCCTCTATATATCTGGTTTGTGCGAGAAAATAACACACTTATTTCATTTGATTTGATGTCCTTTGTTTTTTTGCTTCTGATATATCATATTTGAATTTCTTTAAAAAATGGCTAAGGTTGGTAAATTTGCAATATTCTACCATATGATGCTCTGTTTTTCCTGTCATAAATATGAAATAAAACTCATATCTATACTTGTTAAAGCTACAGACAGGAGCTAATTCAGCTGGTGGGCGCAGGGAGTTTGCAATAACCCCCTCGCCCCCTCGAGATTTAGTATGCTTCCTTTTATTTGTGTTTCCTTTGCCATGGTTTCTTGGATAGCTTCCTGGCTGAGTGCCCTGCACCCCATCCTGGAAATAATGTAATATTCACACAGTGCTTTACTGCATGTAACATCGAGTACAACAAATCTGCAACATTTCATGTATTCATCTGATCTTCTTATCTTATAAAACAGGTGGGGAAGGGGGCTATAGCTTCTCAATATATTGTTCAGAAAACAAATTTTGTAATAGTATTAACGTTTTTTTGATGGAATCCGCTAATTTTTCAAATGCTATCCGAACGCGACTGCTCCTCAGTCCCTGATTATTATACTTTATGTTTTATCAAGYKMCACAAATACGCGCGTCYACCCCTAGACGTTTGATTGTTACAAACTAGATCTTTTAGCTATGTTATTGCAGATTCGATAAAGTTCTTTTCATTTTTTATTTTTTTTTTGTATTGTTGTTGCATACTTTACATGTATTATATTTTCAATTTCTTTATTACGCTCGCAAATAACGATGGAACCGAAAATATRGAGAAATAAAGAAATGCCCGATAACTTTTCGCCGTCTTGTAACAAGTGAATGAGCGGGTAGCCGGTTGTAAGCCTGCAAGTAACAATGCGACAATACAGCTGCTCGCGCATGGTCATGCAAAATGGCMCCTTGTTCTCTAGCTACAAAACGTTATGTCTTCTTACAATAGTTAACTTTCACCCACTACATTGAAGTGAGCTTTGAAATTATGGGATATCATCGTTGATTACGTGTACAGCGTTTATAGCCCATACTAAGGACAATTTAATATATAAGAAAATTGGGAGGGGTAGGATCGGGCCCAACGATTAAAAGTAGTCTTGGAATACGGGGTTAGCCTCAACGCGGCGAAATTGTAAATTGTTAGGGCTATTGTTTAGAACTTTTTCTCGTTCTTTCTTTTGTGTTTGGTAAGGTCTTTTCGTAAGAGTATATATATCTGCTGTTAAATTAAGCAGCAGTTATTAGCTTTGAACTCGAAAATGGAGTATTGTTAATCCATCAGCAAAATTGAAAACTAGGCTTGATGGTATAGTCTGGGTATAAGCACAATAAACATGTGGAACATTTTTGTACAATTTACTGCAGCAGTATACACCTTTTCAGTTGCACTTAGGCCTCGATATCAAGTTTATTATTCTTTTGAATTTGACAAATGAGACTATTCATATCAAATGTTTGCATTGCTCGCATTCCCACAAATTCAAAAGAATATTTAACACGCTGTCGAGGCCTAAGAGCAACTGAAAAGGTGTATTATTCAAGCCATAGTTGTATTTAAGTTGCTAGAACAATCTTAAGTAAATGTGATAAAATTGGGACTATGCACTGAATTTATTAACACAATTATTCAAACAATTATTTATTATTATCAAAATATTTTTTTTTATTTTACCTCTATCAATTATTCGTGCACATATTGTAGGCATTAAATTGACATAAATTTTTTAAAAGATGAAGTTTATATCGTTCATAAAATACAAACACTCCATAAAATGCCGTTATGATCATAGCATAATCATATTCACACATGGGTCTGCTAAGGGACCTATTATTATTTAAGTTGGGGGATGGGCTGGCAAGAATGAGTAACGATCAATCTAGGAGTCTCGAAGGGGGCCCATCATGTAATGCACAACAAATAATGTGTCGGGGGTGGTTACGTGTTTCACTGAATAGTTTGTTGACATAGAAATTTGGTCTATACATGCATTCGTAATTGATTGGAACTGTTGTTGTTGTTGCTCATGTTAATAAGCGCACAAAAAATATTTTCAACATATGATTTTTTTATAACACTATAGCACCCATCATTTTGAATTTCTTCGCACTCTCCTCGAACTAGTATTTGTCATTATTGAGGGCATAGGAAACCCAAACATACACAGGTAGCCCAAATCATGCACAATTTTCAAATTCTAACAATAAWTGACCAGAATAACTAGAAAGCTCTCAGGAAGCTGATACCTTRTGAAGACGGATTACAGAGCACTTATTTGCCAAAACTTCGAAACTCCACAGTAACTGTCATGTTTTGTATAGCCAATAGGAAAGATTTTGCATTGTCTGCGGGAAGCCTGGTAATGAAGCMAAATGGTGGACATCGATAAAATAACGTCTTGTACGTKTTGAGGAAAAAGATGTACACAGACATAATTAAGCTCCRAAAAGAGATGATGACGGTCATACGTGGAGAGAAATTTAGAGAGAGTGTTATAACGTGTTACGAACGAATATAAAAAACACATATGGTCARTATGTTTCCTTGTACACGTTCCTAGCATRAACATGATCAATTCCCCAAAAAGATTCTAAATTTTATAAAAAATATTGAGCTGATTTATAAAAAAACACCTTTCAAGTCTAAATATATCAAGGCAATTCTGAAAACCTCTCAAGTTCTTACATTAAAATGTCTTGACAAAGACTTACACCTATGTGACCTAGATGCATGGTGTGCTTGATACATAAAACAACTGAAATTGATAAACTTGAGAATGATTTTTCTGAGATTGTATTAGTTCTTTGTTCAGCTAGAGATTTTTWTAAGTAATAGCATGGCTCTGAGGGAGATTAGGGATTAAATATCCCCGAAGCCGAGGGCAGATAAGTTGAAGTCCCGACGGCCGCAGGCCGGAAGGACTTTTACTTATCTGCCCGAGGCTGAGGGACATTTAATCCCTAATCTCCTGAGGAAGCCATGCTATTACTTTGTAATACCATGATTTCCGAGGAAAAATTGAAGTTRAACTTGAGCGAGTTTGATGTCTTGTTTTTATGGCATGTTCCAATGTTTTCAATCAGAAGTAATTTAAACATTGCAACAAACAATTCATGCATGAATTGGAATGTGACATGAAAAGAATGGATACGCACTGTTCTAAAAGTACCAACTACTTGTGTCATTGAAAAGGTTTTGGCAGAACAACAGTACAAAATGATATTGGTAATCCGACCATTGTTACTGATTACTAGTAATCGTCCCTCATGCTATTTATGAGGGAGGGATCTTCGCTTGTAAACATCTCTCGGAAGACAAAAGAATCCGAGGTGATCATCGTATTACTCAGGTAAATTAAGGATTTTTTCAACTAGCACTTAAGGCCAACCTACAGCATGCAACTCGTTCTTAGAACAATCCCATACAACCTGCTTACGGCATAATTTAGCTATCATTTACACGGCGCGCACTATACTACTTTTAGCTTACAGCACAAAAAACTTGCGTGCGATATTTCCCGTTTGCTACATGATTCTTTCTTGGAATAATCTTTGTTGCGGCAATTAAACAATACTTCTTCTGTTCCCCATAAATTTATCAGCTTTTCCGTGTCTTCCACTGTGGATTTTCCGTCTTTCTTCTCATTTTTCGCAGGTTTTCCGGTGTGTTGACATTTATGTCGCCCATTTTGAAAAAAAAATCTTCGACAGTATCTACTAGTAAGTTCCTACGAGCAATTTCAGGGCTATAGCTTACTTCAACGTTTTTACGGTTTGTTTTAATGTTTTTAATTCAGCTTTTGAGAAAAAAATAACGTACACACATCTCAAAACTCCATTTATAGTTCAATGTAGATTAACTGTACCCTTAACTTTTTCTAAAGATTTATTATATATTTTTTTCTTTAGAAAGCACACGACGCATATATATTACTGCTATGGATTTGAACATCGCACGACTGTTCATCAAGTTTTGCGTGTCGTATGCAGCTCATTGTTCTCTTGTTAATCTCACAAAGCCAAAAATAGAAGAACTGATCTTCTTATTASAGGAATGTTTGGTGATGGCACTTCTTTTTCGTGATAACGGGACACTTGTTTACATTTATAATGCAMTTGGTGATTTATATAGGYGCGCTCATCAACCAGCCAAGGCAATCCATTCTTACACAAATATGCTAACCCTAATTTCTGGMAATGGAAGTTCCATTATTCTTGAGATAGCCATCAACCAAAAGTTAGGAAACATCTATCAATCAATAGGGRAATATAACAAGGCAATTGAGTTCCATAAAAAGAGCCTAAGTATTGCTAAAAAGAATGGTCACAGAAAGGGAGAAGGGACTTCCTATGGGAATTTAGGAAATGCCTATCGATCACTGGGAGAATATCGCAAGGCGATTCAATATCATGAAAAGAGACTGAGCATAGCTAAAACGATTGGTGATASACAAGGAGAAGGAGCTACTTATGGGAATTTAGGGAATGTTTATCAATTGTTAGGAGAATACCACAAGGCGATTRAATGTCATGAGAAGACACTGAACATTGCCAAAGAGATTGGTGACAGACAAGGAGAAGAAGGCGCTTATGGAAAATTAGGAAATGCCTATAAATCATTAGGARAATATCACAAAKCGATTGGATATCAGGAAAAAAGCCTAAGCATTGCTAAAGAGATTGGTGACAGACAAGGAGAAGGAGCTGCTCTTGCAAATTTAGGAATTGCCTATAAATCATTAGGAGAATATCGCAGGGCGATAGAATATCAGGAAAAGAGCCTAAGCATYGCTAAAGACATTGGTGACAGACAAGTTGAGGGAGCAACTTATGGAAATTTAGGGAATGTTTATCGATTATTAGGAGAATATARCAAGTCAATTGAATATCAGGAAAAGAGCCTAAGCATTGCTAAAGAGATTGGCGACCGACAAGGAGAAGGAGATACTTATGGAAATTTAGCGAATGCGTACCGATTATTAGGAGAATATCACACGGCAATTGAATATAATGAAAAGAGGCTGAGCATTGCTAAAGAGATTGGCGACAGGCAAGGAGAAGGAGCTACTTATGGAAATTTAGGGAATGCCTATCAGTCATTAGGAGAATATCGCAAAGCCATTAACTACCATGAAAAGAGACTCGCCATTGCTAAAGAKATTGGTGACAGACAAGGAGAAGGAGATACTTATGGAAATTTAGGGAATGGCTATCGATCATTACAAGAATATGACAAGGCAGTTGAATATCTTGAAAAGAAACTGACTATTGCTAAGGCAAGTGGTGACAGACAAGGAGAAGGAGCTACCTACGGAAAYCTAGGGATTGCCTATAAATCCTTAGGAGAATATCGCAAGGCGATTRCATGTTATGATAAAAGCCTAAGCATTGCTAAAGAGATTGGAAACAGACAGGTAGAAGCAACATCTTATAACAATMTTGGTAAGTAATACGTTCARTCGTATTCTAAGCAATTCTTAGCARCTCTTATTATTTCAATTTGAAGCGGGAAAGAGCTTCTTCTTTTTAATATATGTCTCTACTATCTTCAAGTCGCATCCATACCGTTAAATTGGTTGGTGTGAACAGGGTATARGATACAAGGAGCCAAGATACACAAATCACAATCGATTGACAATCTCTAAAATGTGATTCAAATTGCATGAATACGATTATTCTTGTTTTAATATCAGGAGTAAAACACAGTGCTAGTAAAGTTAGGAAAACGGTGGTAAATTATTTGACTTCTGCTGTTCCTCTTCCACATCATTAACGATTTAAAAATCATAGTAATAAACAAAAACAATTTATATTACAGATCAAGGAATTATTGGCCAGGTACATTACGCTATATTTATTTTCATATCCAACATAATAAAATTTCAAAAGGAMTGAAAATGAAAAAGACATGAGCAGAATTTATACTTTTGGACAAAGTAAAAAAAATATTATTGAGAGCGTTTTACTAAACGTAGATTGTCTTGATTGCCGTATGATAGCACTACATAATATCGCAGTATTGATTTTAGTGACGTCACCAGTATATACTTATAGTAACAATACGAAATCAAGACCTTAGGCAAATAGACATTTTTACTTATAAGGTCGACATCTTGACTTGTGAGGAATACATAGAATTTTCAAGGAGAAAGAGCACAGATTGTCATAGTAAATAGTACCGAAAAAATTCTTTCACTGATAATTTCGGGCTTCAAAATTCAAGACTCTCAAAGAGAGAAATATAGGTATTTCATAGTGATAATTATATGATAAAATCAAATATATTCTAACTAAAGTAATCATCTTTATTTKCACTGAAGGTGTTCTCTATCAGGAGGCCAGCACTGATGAAGACCTCAGCAAATCAAAAGAACACCTAGAGAAGAGCATACATTGTTATGAGAAATTGTTTGATGATTTAAAAGATAAAGACCAATTCAAAGTTTCAATTGTCGATACATTCATCACAGCCTACAAGGTGCTTAGCCAAGTCTACATTRAAACTGGAGAAATCGAAGAAGCGCTCATGGTATGTGAACGTGGGCGAGCACGTGCTTTGAGAGATCTCTTGTTCCTTAAATACCACACAACTGAGAAAACAGAGTCAAAAGAACTGRAMCTTGCAGATGTCAAGAYAATTTCCTCTCATTGCRAAGGCTGCATTCTTTTTTACAATCTTCATGGTAACAAGGTAACTTWTCATTGCTGGATCATATCAACCCAAAGTCCATCATTACTGTTTCATAATGAAATGGACAATCTTGAAGCTTTGGCAACAATTGTGTCGAGTTTGCCTGAAGATGTTACAACAAATACCAAGGCGGAATATTTTCAATATCTCGTTGACAACAGTTTCCAGCAGCTTAATGTTAGAGAAGGAAAAGGAATGAAATGCGAAGATAGATCGATGACCTTACTAGAGCATGAAGACTTGGAGTGTGCAACCCCAACAAYYTCTTCAAAGCACAGTGAAACTGCTCTGAGATGTTTTCGAAAGCTTGACAGATGGTGCATTTCCGACGAGGAAGACGAAATCAAGTCTCTCGATGTGCTCTTTAATAGATTGGTTTCCCCAGTGCTGCACCAGCTTACCCAGGAAGAAGTGATCATCATCCCTGATGGTCCTCTGTTCATGGTGCCCTTCGCTGCCCTTCAAGATCCTGAGACAGGAAAGTATTTGTCGGAAACTAAGCGCATTCGCCTGGCTCCTTCCCTGACGACTCTTAAAATTCTACAAGAATCCTCAGATGAAAATTATGCTAAGGTAGGCCTTCTATACAAGTTTAAGTATAAAATACATAAATCAATAGTGTTAATAAATTGTAAAATCAAAAACAGA